AATATCCATGTGATTATTGCATGAGAACTTTAGTGTAGTTGTGTAGCTTATATTTTTCATTGTGTATTACTATGTTATATTAAGTGTAGTGACCCATCGGGTCGTTACATTGTTATAGTATCAAAGGCAATCGAGTCTCTATAGGGACACACTCTATTGAGATGGACTTGTTGTGCTACTATTATGTAATTGTTTAAGTTGTGTGTTGTTTCTATCGAGTGTTACCTAATAGATAAATTGATCTCAGGTATAGGATGGTTAGACTCGAGTATGGTCAAATAGTCAGAGCCATGAAAATGATAACTACGACTATGCATTAGCAAAATATTAACTTTGCTTAGATGGAAGAAAATCAAGCTCTAGTTGAAGCAACTAGATCGATGGTGTCTTGAGAGTATAGGGACTTCGCTAAGTTTAGGAAATGTAACCCTCATGAATTTATAGGCGGGATGGGTCTAGCAGTGGCTAACGAATAAATTTGTGAGATGAATAAGATCTTTAGAATGATAGGATGTTCAGAAGGGAGAATGCTAACCTATATTGTCTATATGTTGAATGGAGAAGCTATGTATTGATGGAAGGGTACACAACAGATATCAAGGGCTAGGATGAAGTGGTGGATTGAGGATGTTTCGAAAGAGTATTCCTTGATAAGCATTTTTAAGATAGCTTGAAGTATGCCAAGGAGGCAAAATTCCTAAGACTACACATGGATAGCATATTCGTTCACGATTATGTTTTCAAGTTTGAATATCTAACTTACTTGTATTCCCAAGCGATTTTAAATTAGTATAGATTTTTTTGTCTTCTAAAATGAAAAGATTTTTTTATACTAATTTATGATTATAAGTAACTTGATTTTATATAATTTTAAAATAATATATATTGAGTTATAGCCAAGTGTTTAAAAAGAAAATCCGAAAGGAAGATGAAAGCATTTAAATCGAATATTTTATAACAAGATTTATAAAACGAATGAAAGAATTTAACGTGGTTAAAATTACAATAGAGAAGAATAGGGCAATCGAAAAGACAAGGAAAAAGTGGACCCTGGATGGATGATAGGGAAATTGAAAATTTTTAGGGTGTGTTGCATTCTGGAGGAAGGCCCTGCGGAAATCTTTTAGTGTCAGTGCAGTAATTGTAGATCATGTAATTCTTCTGCACCCAGTTGAGCCTCTGGTGACTAGTGGAATCCAACTCTTCTGAGAGCCAAGCATTGTTATTAGTATTAGAAGAGGCACAAGATGATGTTCCAGAGGACACAGTGCATGCATTGGCATTGAAGTTTCTGTATGAAGCAGTGAAAGGAGCTTGGGCCCAATCTGTCTTAACAAGCCCTCCCCTTGTGGCCCAATCATCTGCATTCCACAGGCTTGAGTATATTCTCATTGCTTGGTTTTTGGGGAATGGAACACCCTTTGACTCCATGTTCTTAAACTCCCTAATTGGAGTTCCATCCACTGAGAAACTGAAACAAAAGAAACACACACTCGTTTAATTAATTGCTATAGGAAACAAAATGAATGATATCTTCTTGAGGTAGAAATTAACTTACACAATGCGTTGGGGGTTCCAGAGGATGGAATAGG